GAGAATAAAGTCGTAATAATTACGAGATAAGGGGGGGAGGGGGGGTTCCCGTAATGTTACGTGGAGAATAAAGTAATAATTACGAAGATTAAAGTCGTAGTTTCATAAGTGACTTGAGAAGCGGACTTGGAGGAGATTGTCTCCGTTCTGCAGGAGGAAACGGCTGGATCTGGCCGACTACATTATATTACATTGCATTTAGCTGACGCTTTTATCCAAAGCTACTTACAATAAGTGCATTCGACCAAGAAGATACAAACTTGAAGAAAACAGAATCATACAAGTACATCAGGTTTCATAGAGCTAAAACATTTCAAGTGCTACTCAACTGCTTCAGATAAGCCAGTCCTGTATTAGTATATAAGTGCTTTGTTAGCAATTCTTTGTTAGTAATTATATCGCTCGAAGTGGAGTCAAAAGAGATGAGTTTTCAGTCTGCGCCGGAAGATGTGTAAGCTTTCTGCTGTCCTGATTTCAATGAGGAGCTCATTCCGATTCCACTACAAGCAGTGGCGTTTTCTCCTGGAGGCCTGTTAAGTGTAAGTATTAATATGTCTGCATGTAACTGCACTATAACTGTTCCACAGTAAGAGGGCGCTATAGGCGTAAGGAGGCGCAGCTATTGTAGCTGACGTCAGGTATCAGATATAAGGGATTGTTCCCTCCCCTTCTATCTCTCTCTCTCTAGCTCTCATGGAGAGCAGGTCAAGTGGTGCAATGCACATATGAAAATAAACCACGCCAGTTAAGGCTAAAGAAGACCTCGTCGTCATGACCAGTTTATTGCTATTCATGTGACTCTGTCAACAAGGCCAAGGGAAGCCAGGCTTCCCCTGTTTTTTTGGATTGTAGTTATAATTTTAATAAATAAATAAAAACACCGTCTCTCCCCCATTCTCATTGAGTATTTTACAAAGAGTGAAACAGCGCCCCTCTAGATGTTATGGTGAAACAGTAGATTGCACTCTCTGTTGCGAGAGGAGGCCAGCCGAAATTGGCTTCCCTTGGTGAAAAAAAATGGAGGGATTGACCAATCAGACAAGGCTCAGGTCATGCCCCTGCCAACCTGTGATTGGTCAGGGCCATGCCAAGGGAAGCCAGAGGCGGCTGGCTTCCCTTGCCTCACAATCCAATCAAATCGCATCAATTTAGTGTTGCAGTGACGCGTCCTAAAACCCGGAAGTAAGCTGCGCCCTTTTTCCCATGGTTTCCCTCGACAAAAAACAATGGGATTTCTCCACAGGGTTTTGGAAAATAGCTCAAAAATAAGGTCAGTGGAGAAACAAACCTGTTTGATAAATGCACGTTTTGTTCAGCCTGATAATATCCACATGTCTACTTTTATAATTTTCGAATCATAAATCTAATCGATAGAAGATAGATAGCGCCACTGCACCACTCTCACCGCCGTTAGAAAGTAGCAAGCAACTGAAGCAAGTGCAATTATGGAGGGTGGAGATTTGGAGTATTTAATCAAAAATAATTGTACTAAACTTCCCCTACAGCAGCAACAACAAATACAATCTGATGACAGGCCAATGCCCAAAGTGGAGCTGTGTACAGCGAGGAAAAAAGGAGCGAATCAGACGTAAAACGTTAAAGGTCTCCTGATTTAGTTTGTGAATTAATTAGTTTCGGCTGGAGAGTGCGTGCGGACCTCTCGATTCATTCATTCATTCATGATAATCTGATGCTGATGTGCCAAAAGATTAAGTATTTCGTTATTTGAGAAACCTAAACTAAAGTACTGCTTCACAAGATGCTCCACATTCCTCATTGTATTGCAGTACGCTGCTGATGTCTGCTTCTCAAGTCACTTGTGAAACTACGACTTTAATCTCGTAATTATGACTTTATTCTCATAACATTACGACTTTACTCTCGTAATATTACGACTTTATTCTCGTAACTATGACTTTATTCTCGAATTATTACGACTTTATTCTCGAAAGTTTTTTTTCTCTAAGTGTGGCCCTAATAGCCTACTCCGTCGTACGGAACTATATCGGAACTAGTGGGAAAAGTACTGCGGTGTGAACGCGGCTATTGATACATAACAGCTGTAGTCATCTGCCATTCATTAAGACAATTACAGGGTGTTGTGTGGTCAATATTTCCAGCTTCGTGTGTGTGTGTGTGTGTGTGTGTGTGTGTGTGTGTGTGTGTGTGTGTTAAATACATGAACATTAACATTTTAAAGCAAATGTTCTGTGCACAAAGATATCAAGTGTAGAGAAGAAAGCAATGGGAAAGATTCAGATAATAATATCGATAGACTGTTTCCATGGAGATGGACATCTGGCAACCACATCCTCCTCGGACAACTGTTACTGTTATACCGACAAATGTACATGTACACCTAAAATGTATTTGATTAAGCATTCCTTTGTAGTGTGTAATATAACAGTAATTAAATTGACTTTTCTTATAGATTAAGAGTTTAAGGACGACAACATTAATACCTTCAGTTGATCCACTTTAATTCTGTGCTCTGTTATAGATGACCTGGTTTACTCCTGTTCTCTGTCTCAGGAGTGCATGGTGGATGAGGACTGTGGGGCCCTTAAATACTGCCTGTATGGGATCCAGAGCTCTAAGTGCCTCCCCTGCATCCCCACAGATATGGTGAGCACTCAAACGTGTTGTTTATGTGTTGAGCTAACGGTTCTATACAACACCCTATGCATTTACATAGCAGCAAACAAATATATGTCATGTAAAGATGTAAAACACTGATAAAAGTGAACCGTTGATTTCAATGAAGTGTATTATGACAACAGCTTTCCTATAACTCTGATAACATAATAGACTAAATTAAAGTCAACGTTTCAGTTTCTTCAGTGTAATGTCTACCTGAGCAGTGTGTTATAATCTGAGTGTTAATGTAGCCAGTCCAGCCTCACATGCATGTTAGTGCATGTGGCTCTCTGTGTGTGTTCCAATGGTTAGATCATTATAACATGGTCAACTGTACAAGACAGCCGAAATACAACATCCAATAAAACACATCAATGTTTAAAAGCTACAAGGTGCCTTTTGCTGGAAATATTCAAAAGGATCAGTGAAGATTTATGATGGTACAGAAATACTTTTACCGTGTATTTGTGTTACAATCTGCATATCTGTGTGTGTGCCAACTCAGCCCTGCACTAAGGATGAGGAGTGTTGCTCAGATCAGATGTGTGTGTGGGGCCAGTGTACAGTGAACGCCACCTCCGGAGAAGAGGGGACCATCTGTCAGGGTCAGAGCGACTGCAGCCCCCCCCTCTGCTGCGCCTTCCAGAGAGGTGAGTCCTTTCAGAGGCCCCACAGAGGAGCATTCACCTGGTTCTCAGGAGCCCTTCTTCAACCTCTGGTGGTTGTTTTTTAGTGCTCAGAATAAAACTATAATTTGATAGCTGTCTATCAAATTGTAGTTTTCATATAAGTTATTTCTTCACTGTTTTGTAACTGTACATTCCCTAAAACCACTCAAATATTGCTTCACCTGACCTGTGGTCTGAGTCAGGGGTTATAATTACAGTTTACCAAGTACATGTGAGCAAATACATCGTCACTGTCCCTGTCAACGTTTATATTCAACATGAATACAAAATGCTGCGGGGTATTTTGAATTATAATGTGAAATACATGTCTTTATGTGTCTTGGCTTTAATATTGGATGCCCTTTTTTCAGATTTTCACTCTGTTTTATCGTTGACATACACCATATATTTTATTTTTCAACAGCACTGTTGCCTCTGCTATTGCTTCTTATGACCAATTTGCCAAGGCATTCTGCCCCTAATTTATTTGTTATTTTGTCTGTCTGACTTTTTGTCTGACTGCCTTTTGTTTTTGTTTGTTTTTACTCCTGTTTTTCTCTGTAAAGCGACCGTGGGTCCCATGAAAGGCGCTATATAAATCTAAGCTATTATGACCTTTTTTTATTACATTGCTTGAAAATGTTCCACACCATTTTATTGCTACTACTTCTGTTTGATTTCTATCTCCACCTACTGTACAAGTCAATGGAACCTCTGGAGATGCTATTAGTATAGTGGCCGATTATGCATAACACAATGTTCAAAGGCCACTTATCCTACAAGACAAATTTGAGTGCTGATTCGGTTGAACTTAAGAAATCCAAATACCTTCAATCGTTCCATTCAAAGAGCTTTATTCAATAGTTAATTTGATCAGTTGGTAGCCCACTACCGCATTACAACTTTTGCACGGCATTTAAATAAATGAACACAAACAAAACCAACAGGCGTGCTGTTGTGAGGTCAAAAAGGTTTTCCGACCTTCCCTACAGACTTCCTGCTGTGTGACGCTGGGAGCCTCATTTATAGTCTGCTTTCTATAAACAATACCACACATAAACCTAGAGCAATCCATAGACAAAACAAAACTACACAAAAACGCTATAATAATATTTCATAGTTATTCAGTTCATTCAAGTTAAATTAGAAGAATATGCAATTGGCTCACCAAAACATGAATAATTACAATAAATAATATGCCTAAATGACTCATTAATTTCCGGTACATACTTATAAAGCTGGAAGAATTATGATTACTCAAATGATTTCCAAACAAAATATGGCTAATATTTGCATTATTATACTGTTAGACCCTTTACAATCAACATTTGCATTTAACTATTGGGGAGGAATCCACCTACACCCAACACTGTAAAAACTGTTGCTTTGGTAAAACTTAAAAAATATGTGTCAAGTGGTTCCAAGCAAGTTTAAGAGTTTAGTCAACTTTTACATTTTTTGAGTTGGTGAAATGTACTTTTTTTAGTTCTCTTCTACTCAAGAATGTGTTTGTCAAGCTGACAATTGAGCGGCCCGACCAAGCAAGGAGGCAGAGGCAGAACGTCCAAAAATATAACCCGGTGTGGGCATTTATTAAATCATAAACATCATTCACAGCCTCAATCCGGCTGAACATGTGCAACCACAACCACAACCACAGGGATTTTACACCACACTCCCTGCCTCCTAACAGACAGGGAAACAGAGCCTAAATACACACCCACTAATCAGCAATTAGACACAGGTGAGGGGGGAGCAATTAGACACAGGTGTGGGGGG